CTTTCGCGATTCATCACTCTTTTGATGAATCCGACCTCGAATCGCTCGGAAAAATTGAGAGTGAAAAGTTTCACCCTCTTTAAAAAAAAGTATATATATATATAAAACAACAACAAAAAAAAAGTATCATTTATCCCATCAGTCAACTGATAATTACCGACAATACGGAATACAACTAGGTTAGTGTAATGATCAATCTGGTCAAATTGCACGCGGAATAATTTCAAATTCGTCTGTCACAAAAATTGACAGATTTATGCGTTGCTAAATTCTCATCCACGTCACGTATTTTCCCCCCATGCAAATACATTTATACAAATAGATAAATCGAACATTTTCATTGATTTCTCGTTATTATTATTATTAACAATAATTTATTTATCAGTTTCACGTTTTTTTTTTAATTACACGAAAATTACGTAACTTTTGTTGCATTTCATGATTGCGTAAGATGGGTGTCACCCATATGCAACTTTTTATGAAACAAAAGTCTTTCTAAAAAAAAAGTTTTTTTTCTTAAAAATCGCTGTTTCGGTGAGATCCGACGAGTTTTTAGGTTTTTTTTCTGAATTACACGAAAATTACGAAACGTTTATTGCATTTCATGATTACGCACCTTTCTATGAAAGAAAAGTTACATAATGTTCATTACGTAACAGGGAATAGACGATTTTTGCGATTTGTTTTCAATATTTCGTGAATTTCTCCACAACCCCTTAAGATAATTACATCATCGACCACTCAATTCAAAGCTGAATACCTCAACTTTCCAACGAGCCTATTGGTATTTTTGTGCTGTCATGAAGTCGCCTGCTACGAGCTGTAGACATTTAAAAAAAGTGAATAGGATTTTCTTAAAAATCACTGTTTCGGTGAGATCCGACGAGTTTTCAGGTTTTTTTTACGAAATTTTTGTTGCATTTCATGATTACGCAACTTTCTATGAAACAAAAGTTACATAATGTTCATTACGTAACAGGGAATAGACGATTTTTGCGATTTGTTTTCAATATTTCGTGAATTTCTCTACAACCCCTTAAGATAATTACATCAACGACCACTCAATTGAAAGCTGATTATTTCACCTTTCCAACGAGCCTTTTGGCATCTTCGTGCTATCGTCGAGATTATATCTGATAAATTCATAAGTTTTGCCTATGCGAATTATAGTTTCATTTCGAATCAATTTCCCGATTTATTAATATTTATCAAATTGGATATGTTTATTTTTTTATTGTTGTTTTCAGATTGGTTTTCAAATTAAATATTTTATTATTATCAATCTGTGCCCTGTAATAAATTAATATCGACAAACAACGCGAAATATTTGCATGGAAAAAAATAATAAAATTTTGAAATACGTATCGCGTTGTTTATTGCCAAAAAAAAGCCAATCTACGTGAATCAATAAATAAACATTTAGTAATTATTTAAATATTTATTTATTTCCAAACGGAAATTATTCAATCGGCCTGCGATTCGAAATTTCCAAATGTTTGCATAATGCCGCCAATTAATTTCATTAATTAAATAGCTGCCGTATGAAAATCAAAATTCTTGTGTCTATGTGTGTGTGTTTTTTGTTTATATTAATTATTGATGATTAATTAAAAAAAATAAATTTATGATAAACCAAGTTTATAGAAAAATTGAAAAAATTATAAAATAAGTTATTTATAAATATTAAATAATATTAACAAAAGGTGTGTACTTTTAGCTTTAAATTTGATGGATTGAAATTATATTTTTTTTATAATAGCAACAGTAATGATGATTTTGGTTGTAATATAAAAAATTCTGTAATTCTAAAGTTTGTGTAAAGTTGTATCAGTTTGACGAAGCGGAAAGCCGAATGGTCGCATTATAACTCTTAACGTTTTTGCCTAAGTTACGTGCTGTCAATTTGAAAATAATTAACCCGACAGATTCAAGAAATGAACCACACTTCTGCGCCGCGCCGCCAATAATCAAAGTTCGCGCGAAAGTTTTCGGAAAAGAGCGAAGTTTAGAAGGGGACCATTTCGGGACGGGTGTCCTTAACTCCCCTTTGGGAGGTATCCACCAAGATCGATCCCCCATTCCGACACTTTCCACCCAGTTTTACCACCCCCAAGAGCGTCGGCAACCCCTGTTTATCATAATTCGCCCGCATCCAGTTTTGCATTTCCACGGAATCCCATTTTTATTACAGGGTTCCCTGCGAACAAAAGACCGACACACAAGGAAGGGCAACAAACGCACATAAAATAAACAGAACGAAAACGAAAACGAGAACGGAAAAGTTGTTGAAGTAGGAGAAAACGTGGAGACGGCAAACACCTACGCATAGAGTAATTATCGTGGTGAAAGGACGCAACAAAAAGAATACACCCTCCGAGGAGCCGTTGCGCAACAATAACAGAATCTAATTAAGGAATACACAGGGGGTGAAACATCCGACACCTACAATAAGACGAAAACAATATTGAAACAAGCAATTTTTGAGAATTACCTAATTCTGTTACGTATACTGTACAACCTCATTTAACGCTTCCTCGATTCGCTCTACACAAAGCTCTAAATTTAATATCTGTTAATAAGACTTCGTTTAACGCCAATTTCATCATATTTTTTACAAATAAAACAATTTTTACCTTTTTTTACGTAATGTTGTGATAAAAAAGGTATTTTTTATTTGTATGCTTACTTCATTAATAAAATAATATAAGTTACAAAATAATTAAATACAATACTAAAAAATATTTATATAAAAAAAATCTTAAAATTGAGATGATTCAAATAACAAAAAGTTACAGTTCTGAATTTCTTGAGAAATTTAAATCTGAAAAATGAGTTATATTTTTTTTTGTTTTTAACTAAAACAAGAAGAGATTTAGTGCTAACATAATGGAATATAATTAGGTTATGCCATAGGGAGGAAATGGAATATATTACATGTACATGGTTGAAATAAAAGTCACAGGCCGGTATAACATGCAAATCGGGAGTAGGGTTACGATATTTGCATTTCGCCGGCCTTAATTCATTAATTAATTCTTCGCACGTGGCGGATTTGCCACATTTAATTAAAACCCTTTTCGCCGATTTATTGCCATTATAAATATTAACACTATTTCATCCACTCGATAAATTTGCGATTTGCTCCGCACACCGTGTTCACTCGTTAGTTTTTTTCATTTATTTATTTATTTATTTTCTAGCGTCGCTGTGCGTTTTGCTCATTTCACCCCCTGCACATTTTTTTTTCGTTTGCGTTTTGCAGTCGTGGTCGCTGTTTTTTTCCCTATTAGTTCGTTCTTTTTGTTTCGTTTTCGCCTGTGTCTCTATCTCTCTCACCCCTATACGTTTTTGAAATTTTATTTGCTGCATAAACAAAAGTGCAACTAATATTTCCACCCTCGCAGCGCAAACACTCACATCGAGTTATTCAATAATTGCAATTCCAATAACGAACACGGTTCGGAGAAGGACAGGAAACGGAAAATGCGAAAATAATACAAATAAAAAAAAACAACAAAGTATATACCGCAGCAAGGAGCGATGAAAAATACAAAAAAAAAAAAACGATATA